TGGACGCATCGTTATCTACTGTACAATTAGATTAGATGGGGCGGCAGTGCACGGCACAGCTCGGGCTCCGCTGACACAACCACTCTGACTCACCAGCCCCCGGGGCCGCATCGGCATGCTGTGCATGGACCAGCTGTGCACGGACCAGTGCGCACAGCCTGCCCTTAACCTCCCCTGTATATAAGCCGGCCTCTGCTGCCCTAGGGACCTCAGTTTCGACCTCTTGTCCCTAGGTCAGTAAGCTCATGTACTTACTTACCTTTTCAATACTAACTTACTTGTCCCTAGCCTTAGGTTTGAGCGTAGCTCACCATCGCTTCGGTAAGACTTAGTCGGACGCTCCCAGCCTTTAGGTTTTCTCCAGTCGCTTGACCTCAAGTCGCGACATTAGGTCGAAACTCTCCCAAGCTGCCGGCGTCCTCACGGGACTCCCACATTCACCTTCCTTTCCCACAGGTCGGGTGGTGCGCACCCCTACGATACCCTACGGTACATATGATACGTAGATAGCCCTACATACATCGCCACCCCTCGAGGAACGAACTCTTCAGCACCTGCACTTCAGTGGGCGGTGTTTGTCCTTATGGACATGTGGACTAGGTTCCTGCTGCATAATAGTCAAAAGCAGTACTGGGCCCCATGTGAACTACGAACCTCAGGGTCTTCTCGGGCACCGTAGCGTAAGCTAGATTAGCACGGCCTTTCGTAGTACATGCACCTTCCCGTCCTCCCCCCATCCAACGTGGCTGCCTGCCAGGGCCAAGTTCACGCATTCGACTCGCAGGACCTCATCGACGTCTACATCCCAGACGGCCCTGAGACTGTCATCTACCGCTGTGAGCAGCAGCCGTGCCCCAACCGGACACCCCGATCGATCGCAGAAGATTACCTGCGCTACAAGGCGATCCGCCGAGCACAACATCCGCTCGGCCCTCGAAGCACCCTTGCATCTTGATCTGCCTCGCGGCACTCTTGCCCTATCTCCCCTACCTCCCGCCTTCCCCAAACTGTCGCCAAGTCCAGTCAAGTATGAGGAGATCTCCCTTCAGACCCTGCGCCAGAGCCTGAGCCTGAGGAGGGTACGGGTGAAGAAGGAGTCTCGGAGTCCGAGTCTGCGGTTCCTGATCGGCCCACCTCGCCGACAGCATTCGCCCCCGCGTCAGCAGTCCCTGACGTACGTGACCCCCCCACCGAACTTCCTCCGGTGCCTTCACTGCCGACTCCACCGAGAGGCCGCTCGAGCACTCGCTCCTCTCGAAGTTCGACCAGTGGAGGGCCACCACAGCCGCCTCCGCCCCCGCAGCGTCCTCCGTCCCCCCCGACGCCGGTAATGTCTTCTCCCATGACCACCCCCGACAAGAAGACCCTGCAGCTCCTCCTCCCACTCCGATATGACGGCAAGACCGTCATCGAGTGCGACAGGTTCCTGTCGCAACTTCGCATCTACTGGTTGATCAACACATCGTTGACGACCATCGAACTCAAGGTGCAGGTTGTGCTGAGTCTGCTCGATGGCAACACCCACGCCTGGGCCACGCCTCACTTTGCCCAACTCGCGTCGGTACAGATGGGTGTACAAGGGGTCACAACCCCCTTCAGGAACGAAGCGGCCTTCACCGCTGCCTTCAAGGCTCGCTTTGGAAATCTCGACGATGTGGCGGCAGCACAAGTGGAGCTGGCGAAGCTCTGCGCAGACAAGTTGGTCCGCGAAAAACGCACCGCTGAGGAATTTTCCGCGCTGTTCAAGGGTCCAGCGGATCGCTCTGGGTATGGGGACCTGGAGCTATGCGACAAGTACCTGAGTGGCATCCCCTCCTATGTGTATCGCAAGATCGAGCTCGAGACCTTCACCACGTGGCGAGCCGCTGAAAAGCGAGCCACTGAGGTCGAGCAGATCCTCGACATCAGCGGGGCCCATCGGCCCGAGTTAAACAACTTCGTCTCGGCTCGAGGACGAGGGCGCGGAGGGGCACGTGGTGGTGCACCCTCGACGCATGCAGCTTCCGCTAGCATCAATGCGGCCGTCGGAAAAGGAGACTTCCCCGGCACCTGCTTCGGCTGTGGGAAGCAAGGGTACCGACGTTTCGAGTGCCCCAACTGTAAGGACAAGCCTTACACAAAACGCGCTGACGCGCGGGCTACGGTTGCCTCGGGTTCCACCCAGGCGGCGACAAGCGCCCCCGTCGCTTCATCCTCGGCGAGTACAAGCGCCGCTTCAGCGAAATCGGAAAGTTCCGAGCTGGTGGACTTGATAGCACAGATGAAGTCAATGCGCGAGGAGCTCGAGCATTATTGGGCAATGAAGGAGGAGTCTTTTTGATCCGGTCCGCGCTTCGTGCCGCACGCGTCGGGCCGCGTAATAATAACATGTACAATGTATTGGCAATCGCGAATGTTTACGAGTTGGACCATGGGTCCCAGCACTTCCACATCCTGGTACGCCTCAAAGGAGAAAGACGGCACAAGGATATAATTGCAATGGTGGACAGCGGGGCCACCACGAAGTTCATCAACAAGCGCTTCATCACGGAAAATCGAGTACGAACGCGGAAATTGAAAGAGCCAATTCCGCTTTACAATATCGATGGAACGCTCAATAAAGACGGAAGCATCTCGGAGGTAGCCGTGCTACAGATGCAAATAGGAGATCACATCGAGAGGACAGTATTCACGGTCACGGACATAGGTCCAGAAGATGTGATCGTCGGGTTGGATTGGCTGCGAGAGCACAACCCTGAAATCAATTGGGAGTCAGGCTCCCTGAAATTATCACGATGCCCTGAGACGTGCAGTGCCAGAAAGACTGGCCAAATGGAGCAAGCAGCGACACAGGGGACAGGCCCATGGCGCACAGGCGTTTGCCAAAGTCCAAACGGTCGGTCCTAGGCGCCTGCCGGAGTAAGGTGCTCCCGGACTTCGAACCCAAAGAAGATTCGGTGGAAGTAGAATGGGATGAGGGCGACTTGATCGAAGCCTGGGAGCAGGGTATTACGCTCCCCAGTGCCCCTCAGCTGTTCGTTGCAGCAGTCACACGTATTCCCAGCTGTTCGCTGAGGAAGAGATCAAGAAGAAGGTCATCAAGACCGCCAAGGAGTCGGTACCTAAACAGTACCACGAGTTTCTGAAGGTCTTCTTGAAAGAAGCATCAGAACGGCTACCCGAAAGGAAGCCGTACAATCATGCAATTGAACTCGTGCCCGGCTATTCAACGTTCCATTCGAAGGTGTACCCCCTGTCGAACAATGAGCAGGAGGAACTAGACAAGTTCCTCAAAGAGCAGCTGGCAAAAGGCTATATATGGGAGTCGAAGTCACCCATTTCGTCCCCCTTCTTCTTCATCAAAAAGAAGGAAGGGACGCTTCGACCTGTACAGGACTACCGACGGTTGAACGCGATCACGGTCAAAAATCGCTACCCTTTGCTGCTGATCGCCAAGATGGTAGATAAGCTCCGCGGTGCCACGCTCTTTACAAAGTTCGATGTCCGATGGGGATACAACAACGTCCGGATCAAAGCCGGTGACGAATGGAAGGCGGCGTTTGTGACTAACCGAGGGTTGTACGAGCCCTTGGTGATGTTCTTTGGTCTTACCAATTCCCCTGCAACTTTCCAGGCGATGATGAACGAGATCTTCCACGATCTCATCGTCGGTGGCAAGATCCTCGTGTACCTTGATGACATACTCATCTTCTCTACCAGCAAGGAGGAGCACGAAAAGGTCACACGCGAGGTTCTTCGTCGCCTTCAGGACAACGATCTGTTCCTGAAGCCTGAGAAGTGCGAATGGGACGTTCCCAAGGTCGACTATGTCGGCTATGTGTTCGGTGGCGATGAGGTAGCGATGGACCCCGCGAAGCTGAAAGGAATCAATGAGTGGCCGGTACCCCGGATCAAGAAAGATGTTCAGAAGTTCCGGGGGTTCTCCAACTTCTACCGCCGCTTCATTAAGGACTTTGCCAAGATCTCGCGACCACTCGACCGGCTCACCGGGAATGACCCATGGCATTGGGGCGAAGAAGAGCAGCATGCCTTTGATGAGCTCAAGCGGCTCTTCGTGACGACTCCAGTCCTAGCGCTATACGATCCTAATTGAGAAACGCACATTGAGGTTGATGCCTCGGGCTATGCCACTGGCGGTGTGTTGATGCAGAAACAGGACAACGGCAAATGGCACCCCATCGCCTACCGATCTCACGCTATGGACCCTGCCCAACGTAACTACGAGATCTACGATAAGGAGATGCTCGCGATCATTGAGGCACTAGACGATTGGCGTCACTATCTCGAGGGGTTACCTAATCAGTTCGAGATCGTAACCGATCATAAAAACCTCGAATATTGGCGCACGTCCCAGCACCTCACGCGTCGCCAAGCGCAATGGTCGCTGTTCCTGGCTCGCTTCGACTTCCGCATTACGCACAAGGCCGGGACGTCCAATGGAAAGACTGATGCCCTATCACGCCGATCAGACCACCAGATAGGCGACAAGGACGATAACATCGATCAGGTGGTTCTCAAGCCGGAACGCTTCCGCATCGCCTCCACCCGGCGCAGTCATGCCTTGGTGACAGCCGACCAGTCGCTTCTGAAGCACATCAGGGAATGTTTGGAGAAGGATCGGGAGGTGGCCGAGGCACTCGAAAAGGTGCAGGACCTCGGACCGCCCCGGCTACAAAGGGGTTTTGAGGAGTGGAAT